GATTTGGAGTAAATATTTATTTATTTGATGTCTGTCACACCTTTATGTGATAAAGAATACTCTTTAATAATGAATCAATTTTAAAAAAAAGTTTAATTATAATATATATATATATATATATATTAATACTCACATATATAATGTAATATATTAAAAAATAATTTTTGATAAAATAAAATTTGTAGTATGCATGTTTACCTTTTGTGTTTTCTATTTATTGTATATGTTGATTAAAAAAATCAAAATAGTTAAATTGTATATGTTGATTAAAAAAAATCAAAATAAGAAAAATGAGAAGATTTATGTTTCATTTAGAATTGTTATTATAAAATACTAAAGAGGCCGAGACACTTCGTGCCTCTAACAGTTATACGGACGGTTACAATTTTTTATATTTATATTTTCTCCATTTTATCTTTTTATCTATAAGGAATTATTACATAATTGAAAGACAAAAAATCTATAAAAAAATGGAGACGAAAGTGGTTATTTAAAAATATATTCTCTTTATCAATAGTTATAGATATTTTAAAATAAATTATCATCTAAAAATATATATTAGATATTAAAAACATGTTTATATCATAAATAAATTAAACTTGATTTTTATAAAATTTAGCATATTTTTAATAGTATTAAATTATTATAAAGTAGGTATTTAGGATTGTACCCAAACATTTAAAAAATATCTTATAGATAAATAAGTCATACTTAGGATATATATTTTTAAAGAAAGTTAGGTTCAAACCTACTAAATTATATATAATAAAATCTAATCTGACCTGGTTTATTTTCATCTTTAATTGTAATCCTAGATATAAAAACTTGTAAAAAATAATTATGATATATATTTATGTCTATAAAAGTTATACATAAAATTTTTAATACTACAAATATATAAATAAGTATTGCCCCCACTATCTAAAATTTCTGGATCCGTCATTGCCTGTACCCGCGAGTAATATCCAAATCTGTTCTGATTTTGATGGGGAATACCCGGTTTGACCGGGTACAGGTACGGGTATATACTTACCCGCTTCGTACCCGTACTCGTCCCCGTTTTCATTTTTAATTTAATACACTTTCAATTTAATTATATTAAAGAATTTTAATATTTTTTTATGTGTGATTATTTATTATAATATGAGATAGAGAAATAATCTAATTATAATTATAATATAATAAAAATAATTTAAAAATATTATATTTTTTTATAAAAATAAAAAAATAAAAAAATTAACAGGTACAAGTACAGGTACGGATATTCCCGATACCCGACGGGGACAGGAATGGGGATGAAAATCTCATATTCGACAGGTACGGGTATGGAGACAGGAATGAGTTTGACTCGCAACAGGGATGGGTATCATGAAACCTGTACCCGACCCACCCCGTTGCCATCCCTTCTCTAGATACCCGTTCATACAAGTCTTGTCTGTTGATTCGCTTGATTAGAAAGATAAGCAACATGATCATGCACTACTCTTTTCCTGTGATTAAAATTATTTATTTGGGTAAATGTCTTTCATTCCTGTATTTTTATATAAAAAATAAATAAAAAGGAGATATGTCATATATATAATGATGGAGTATCGTTTATTTCTCAAAAACATGCTAAGAAAGAAATAGGGGGAAATGTGATTTTTTTTTTTTAAAGTTATTTAAAAGATTATTTTGCAAATAGGACTTATGTTGCGTTTGTTATCAATGAAATAGAACATAAAAGAGATGAAAGATACGGAAGTATAAAGAAATATATGAACTTTACTTGTTTAGCATAGTGAAAGTGAGGAAATATTTGTGCACCAACGTGTTCAAACTTTTGCTCAAAATTGCGAAGAAATGCATAGAAATTACAATCTTTTCAATGTTGCCCGTGGAAAACAAAAATAATAATCAATCTTATCTCTTCAATTAATCTTGTAATTGATTATACTCTCTCCCAATCTCCTTAATCAATTATGGTTGTCCGTCCATCTATAATGTTTTTAATAATAAAAATAATAAACGAAAAACATTTAGTAATTAACCGTAAAAAAATTTATAATAACATTTTTTAAAAATCAAATAACGTCAAAAAGTTATAACTTTCAGTTTATTTTTCTTCAAAACAACTTTTATTTTTTTTTCTCCTTTTTTTTCTACTTACTATTTTCTTCCTCTCTACAAAATATATTATTAAATTAATCCTTTAACATGCTTAATACTTATGTAAGTTATGTGTTCTAAATACATAACAGAGAAAAAAGGGCATTCGTTAGGGTTTTTGTGATCACATGCATCGGGTTTCGCAAAGTGGCTCACGGCCACCGAAGGCCCCTGGCGATGATGGGGAATTAGGTGGTATGGGAAGTACCTTCAAGGAGAAGGTTTTGGGTGGTCCGTCGAAACCCAATAACATACGTAATCTCATAAGTGAGGGAGCCATGACTCTGGAGTTTGAGGGTGGAGATCGTTTGTTGCCAAAGTTTAATATTGTGCAACCCACTTTTGAGCAGCTATGCTTACCATGGAAGGAGTGCCTTGTGATAAAGATATTGGGGAAAAATATAGGGTATCTCACAATGAGGGATAGGCTTCACACATTATGGAAACTACAAGGTGGTTTTGAACTGATAGACATATCACAAGGATACTTTATGGTAAAGTTTGATCTAGCGGCAGACACGGAAAAAGTCATGCAGGGCGGGCCATGGATGCTTTTCGACCACTATTTGATCGTACGACCATGGTCTCCTGAGTTCGTGGCGGCGGATGCTAAGGTTGATAGCACTTTAGTTTGGGTTCGCTTTCCGCGATTAGGGATGGTGTTCTATGATGAGAGTGTCTTACTTACCATTGCCTCTGCAATTGGTAAACCGATTAAAGTGGACCTTAATACCTTGAACATGACGAGGGGACGCTTCGCACGGGTCTGTGTTGAAATTAGGTTGGATCAACCTGTTGTTGGGAAATTCAACCTGAACGGAATTTGGTACAATGTCGAATATGAAGGTCTTCATCTGCTATGTGCTTCATGTGGGTGCTATGGACACATCATGAGGAATTTCTCTAGAACTATACCTACCCAGGAACAACATTCCCCTAGTGCCCTTGATGCAACGACGGAAGGTAATAAGACTTCGATCATAGATGAGGCGGGTCATGAAGCGAACTCTGTGTTGAAAGATGGTCTAACTGCATCTCAATTTCCAAAAGGCAATGCACCTGAACCTCATGGTGACTGGTTGGTGGTTAGACGAAGAAATAGGAAACAAAACCATAAAAGACTCTCGTCGAAAAATCATGCACCCCACTATAGGGAGGCTCCAAACTACGTGGCCAATAATTTTGAAGGGATTGTTAACAATATGGGCAGACAAAATAAGACAGATTCCACTACCAAGGACAGTGGGGCCCATCATAATAATGAGACTTGTGTAGCTTCAGATTCACCAGTAACACGGATGGGACATGCCATGCAGTTCCATGCAACCAATCAGGCACAAGAGAATATGGTGCAACAGAAAGAAAAAAGCGAGGCCGGGTTGAGGAGATTAAACCTCAACAAGATACCTCTTGGGTCACTATGAAAGCACCCACACGTGATCTGAAGAAGACCATCAATTTTCAGTCTGCACTTCTTATTGTTCATGTTGAAGGAAGTAGATTTCGATATCAGGATGAACCCGAGAATGACATACAAGACGCAGTTAACAACAACCAAGTGCCTTACACCCATGGACTGGGAGGACCATCTATGAACGAGCATGAGGGTGTAATGCTAGTTGAAAAAAAGGAAGATATGCAGGTAATCTCGAGTGCTTGCAATGAGGAAATGATCTCTTAACCTTTTTGCTTTGGATCTCGCTTTTCATGTCTGCAATGATTGAAGAACTGAATATTATCAGCTGGAACATTAGAGGCGCTGTCAATGCGAAGGGTAGAAGACGGATCACAGAACTGGTGCAACTGCACCGCCCTGCTATTTTTGTTGTCATGGAAACACACTGTTCGTTCTCCAGCACTGAGTCATTTTGGACGAAACTTGACTATAAATTATGCCATAAAGTGGAAGCACGTGGTCACTCAGGAGGCATATGG